TATATATATATAGAGATAGATATTGCATAATTGCATATAGTTGCTTTCGTTCTGTTTGCAGGTGCAAGTGTCGAGCATGTCGTCTGCTTTAACCACTCTTGAGCGCCTCAAGGCGCTCCAGGCTTCACTGGAACAACTGTTCAGTTTTTTGAACCCCAAAGACCTCGTACTACCGTGCTTGCAAGCTGTGCGGAGCTAGGCTCTTTTGATACCCTCCTACGGCTTCCAGGGATACCCTTGTGTCAGCTTTTAGTCACCTTTTTTACCACGAGACCCATGTTCCTCCCAAGAAACTCAACGTTCCTCACTCATGTTCAAACTAAAACATACTAAAACAGTATGTTTTCTGTTTTCGGCCAGAAACTTCCAGGGCGATGCCAAAAGGGTGCCTCCTCTCCTGAGTTCACATCCAAACTCAAGATGCAATAAGATTGAACTGAGGCAGCTTGACTTCCTGAAATGCAAACGTTCGTCTTCATTTGACTCGACTGACCTGGGTAATCGGCTACCGACAACCTGCCCATCTGGTCGGTGAAATAGTGATGCTTCCGCAAGCTAATCGAGGTTACCAGGTCTCTTCTATCATGTGAAGCACTGTCAGTCACGTTGATTGCACCTGATTGCACTCCATCGCTTTGCCAACTGGGATGTCCCAAAAAAAATCCAGTCCAAGGCTCGAAAGAGCTGGACCATCAAGACCTCTTGTCCTTGAAGCCGTTGGCAGGCCTCGACAGCCTCAGGATCCGCGGGCAACCAGCCTAGCTGACCTTCTTTCTCTACCCGTCGGATGCCGCGCAGCCTTCGGATGATCACCCCAACACCGGACCCACCCTGAGCTTGTTGTATGGTGTTGTTCTGTCTCAGGTGCTCAAAAGAACAAAAACACGAGTGAAAGGACGACTTTCCGCATGCTGCTCTGGATCAGCATGGATCAGTAACATTGATAGTCTGATAGTACGGTAATATTACGTGTCTTGAGGTATTCAACGACTTGACACAAATTTAGCGCTCGTCAAACAAACGACCACCATTCACCCTTCTGTGCATTCATAGCAAGACTCGAGAAACGGTGCTCAGAAAACAGAACAATTCCAAATATAGGTTTCTAGTAGGTTGGAGGCCATCACGATTAGGTTGGGTGCCATTACTATTACTGTAGGTGTCTTTTTGTTAAATATCGTTTCTTTCCAGCAAAAGCAAACATAGATCCCTAGCTCGCTTTCATGGACCCTCCAGTTCTGACTCGATGCCGCGAAACTGCCGCCGCGGTGGCCGCGGCCCCACGAAAGCCGAAGTCCGGCAGGACGAAGCCGCCAGAATCGACCGGGCCAAATTCCGAATCCTCTCCGTTGTAGAATGCCCCATCGTCACCTGGTGTCGTGGGGTGTGGATGTACAAAGGGGATGGAAGGGGATGGAAAACGGAGTGACCCATCTATGACATAGACCTATAGATGACCCAGCCCTGGAATCTGTTTCTTCCTGGTGAGAGATACGAAGAAAGAACACAGCCAATGAGGGGAGCGACCTTGAAATGCAGAAGGACCCACTTTGAGAAAGAAGCTCCACTTGGTTTGGCATCTAACAAGTAGAATGAGCATGGCCTGACCATGAGGCATGAATATCAGCCGCATCCAGGTCACCCAAAGATAGAATGTCTTGCAAACGTTCAAGCTCCACATCACCATAGGCCTCAGGACAAGGTGCCGTTGAGACACAAACACAACTACAGTGACAAGCCGGACTCGTACAGTACACAACAGGAATAAAGGACCATGAGGTACACAAGTTCAATCGTTGCGAACATTGCTTCTGTGGTACATTTCGATGCTTTTTGTTTTAAAGGTGAATGTGCGGCAACCGGCTACCAGAACTGCAGGTTGAGAAACAAAGGACTTAGCTTAGCTCTCCCTCTATTTTGTCCTTGACATAGCTACAATATCGTGAGCACCCCAGATGAAATCACCGGTCTTTGAAACAACTGCCTTCGGCTTCGCGGCTTTTCAGTGCTTCGTTCACTTTCGGGTCTTCATCTGCGAACGTGTTTTTCTGCCAGGTGAGTCCGGCCAAGTGGCCGAAGTGAAGTGCTCGGAGCCTGCCAGGGCGATACCAATGAATGGCACCAAGTTATGCTCGTCTCCCTTGACTCATAGATGGACAGAAACCAAAGAAACCAAGCACCTCCCCTTGTGGCAGAACACCAGACCCCCCCCATCCCGATGCTTCGGTGCGCCTTCCAGATGGCGATCTTGCTTCGGCAGCCGTGACAACAGCAGGGCTGCGTCTGCAATGCGGCCCCGCTGTCGGAGGCTCTGGGCAACATCTTGGCCAATGGTGATGTCCTGGGAGGGAAGATTGCAAGGATTTCCGAGGATTTCAATCACCATTGAATCTGTCCAACCAGCGGCAAAACTCTCCAACCGGGTACCTTTTGCGGGAGATCTACAATCAGATTTCTCCATAGATGTGAGGCGGGGATTCTTGGCACTGGAACACTGGAACACCATCGGGCATACTAATGACGCGCTGCTTTGGGATTAAAAACCAATGGGATTCTGGCCTAAACAGGTCCAACGCAGTTGGGTGTTCCTGTTGGGTGTTCGTCACTTGGAGCAACCCACTTCAGTGGCCGCGGCGAACTGCCACGGGACTCGGTGATGCTCTTCGCCCTCTTAGCTATTTCAGCTTCCGCATGCTAAAATGTGTCTTGCTTGAAACAGGAACATTGACATAATCATAATCCTCTCATAACTCTCATCTGATTACCCCCAGTCTTGTCAAGAACTGCCAGCTTCCAGTCTTGGGATCTTGCTGAGATCAACAAGGTCTGGACCGCATCAAGTTCCCAAGCGACCACCGATCTGAACATATGCTGAGAAACCCAATTGATTGTTTGGCTACCTGGCTACCTGGTTCTTTGCTGGAGTTGGATGGAGTGTATTCACAATAAGATTGATTACAGTAAGTAAGACTCGAAACTTCTTCCCCACCATCATATCCATCATCCAGGTTCACAACAAAAACGTACAGGTTACCATCGTTTGGTATTGTCATTTGGAATCAAGCTCCTATCGTTGTTCAAGGAATATGCAAGCCCAACCAATCAAAAAAATATCCTCACACAACATCACGCAACACTGATGATCAGTTGAACTCCATTTCATCTGGGATGTAAAGCACATACATATATAATATATATACATATGATATCATATGATTACTGATTACTGTAGTTCAATTCAAACCATGCTGATCTACTGACCAAGGGTCCAAGTCCCTAAACTGGATCATTGGCAAGTTTGATCCCCTCGTTGCAACGCTCCATCTGTTGGCGCCCAGCAGCATTGTCCACGAAGTCCATCAATCTGGCCACCGGCAAGGCTCCCCCGCGCTTCGTGTCCAGCGCCCAGCGACGCAGTGCGCAGCGCCGGATGGCTCCGCCGGGAGGGATTTCGATGCCAATGTGCTCGGCAATACCACAAACCTCAAATGGATTCAAATGGACTTGGTGAGTTGATATGTTTTTGATAACACTTGGTGTGACTATATATACAGTCCATTTTTTGGTGTGACTCGGCCCTTGAAGATTCAATACAATATAAATCGTTAGTGAGTCTTCCAAAGTTCAGGTCTTTTTTTTTTGACGTAGTCATGGTGCTGAACAAAGTGGTTGTCCTCTGGACATGCGCAACTCCGGCCAAGAAACACATGAGATTGGTTTCCAAGGGGACCCCAATTGGGGGACTGAAGTCAGACGGGATAGGGCCTTCTTGAGCCAAGAGGGTTCAAGGTGCTCCCTTGCCACCAAGATTCGATTTCAAAGTCGTCAATCTCCGCGTGCGCATCAAATCCTTGTTTGACCACATACATACGCTTCAGCGTCAAATCTCCCTTGACTACCCAGCCACTCTTAGCCGTCGGGGCCCTTTCGCAGGAGGGTTCTTCATATGTGATTTTCTTATGTTATGTTTGTTCTGCAATTTCTAAGGATCTGCTTCACTTGAACACTTGAAACAACTTTGGTTCTGGCAAGTGGGGCCAGGCAAACATGGGCATGGGACCTGAGACCCGGACTGCCAACTGCAAATGGTCTAGCTTTCGAATCCAATGGCTGGCAGTTGGCGGGGGTCCATTAAGATGCAGTGTGTCCAGTTAAGTTGCATATGCATATTCCCAATCAACCAATTCATACAAATCCCAACATCCGGCAAAAAAGACACTGCTCAGCCCGGCTTAGCCCGGTCCCCATAATATACTATTTGACATCGGTTTTGGTTGCTTTATTAGTTGATCATTCAAAAAAACATACCAATTGAGAATGAAATAATATATACATATAACCAAAAACATCAGCAACTATAAACCGTTTAACTTAACGCATTTGACAATGAAACAATTGATGTCAGATTTGATGTGAATGACCCATGTAGATCCGTTTAAACTTCACAAGCATGATTCCGACCCTCTTCGCTTCCCACCCGTCTTTGTCTCAGGCGCGCTGGTCCAACTTCTCCACGACCTGCTGACGATCGGCCACCGAGGCCGCGCTCAGGATGCCGCTCAGCATGTCGCGGCGCTCGCGCCAGGGACGGTCCAGGTTCAGGACTTGGCGGACCAAAAGCTCCACCTTTTTCCGGCACGAAAAGGCGCCCAGGTGCGGCGGAACAAGGAACACCGTTGCTGGACCCCTCGTGCGCTGGTGAGACATGAGGACCTGCAAGATGCCCTTCACAATAAACACAATGATTGAACTAACAAGAAAATGACTCCAGTCAACTCAGTCAACCCACACATTCATGACTGCACTCACGGCGGTCTGAATGCATTGCTTGCAGTGTTCACATATCTATATATATATGTGTCTATCAACATAACTAATTAAATATATGATAATGTATGCATGCGTCTGGTGGATGCATTGCAGACCAAAAAGGGGCAACTGCTTTCGTGTTGCCTCTGAAACTCTTCCTGTGAGAAGGGCGCTGCACTCCAACATCTACAGGTCCAGCACATCCAACAAAAGGCGACAGAAGACTCTCTTTCCGCATTCATGAAGGCTAAATGGAGGGTGTGTGGAGAAAGGGGGTCAGCAAAAATCGCTCATACGAAGTTAGTGCATCAAAAATACCTTCCACGAAGTTCTGCGAAGGTTTCTGGGATTTCGTTGCAGTCAGATCTCCTACTGGCCCACCATTCCACGAACTGTCCACGAATAGCCTTGGGTTCTACGAATGTCCCGCGCCTTCCACGATGTTAGTAGAACAGGTTTTTGCAAAACCCTTTCTGTGCACTACCCTTCCGTTTGCCTCTGAATTCAACTGAAACAAACCTGGATTGTAGATGTCAGCTCTAAAATCCACACTAGGTCAAGCAGCAATACTGTCTCCCTTCCAGGCCTGTTGAGTCTCCAGCTCCACCCCGATCGCCACCATCTGGGCCGCCAGCAATGCGAAGCGCCGGTAGTTCCGGTGATCTGGCGCGCGCGTGGGGTTCTCCACGAAGGCCTTCGGGGCGTGGGGTCTTCACTTCGTCCACGGAGGTCCCATGTAAAACACCTCATTGAAAGACCAGGATTCAAACGAGTAAAGACTAAAGGTACTGGGAATCCTGGTTCTCAGTACCTAGTACCTATAGTGCTTTAATCCCACTCCCAGTACCCAGTACCTATAGTCAAAAGCAAAGTCAAGTGCCTATAATCCCAGTACCAGTAGTCACTCACCCACTGTCAGCACCCGTCAGCACAATAGTTTACCAAAGTCAAGTTTGGTGATTGGTTCAATGCACAGCCCCCTTTCCAGGGGTATCGAATGGTCTTACCCAGGATCTTGCCTGAGTTACAGGAATGAAGCTCCAAACCAGCCAACAAATCCAAAGTATCACTGAAAGGAATCCTCGAAAGGCCCCTCTAAGGTGGAAGGTTCACCCATAAATCCTGATGATAATCAATAAAGCACTTCTCGACTCCTGGACAACCCATTACAACCCATTTGTTCCCACTTGATCTAGACATCTGCGTCCACTCCACGACGTTTCTGAAAGCGCTCGCCTGCTGCCACAACGCCTCCCGGAGCTCCTGTGCTGTGACCTCAGTGGAATGGTTCGGACAACCAGATCGGTGGAGGCAGAAGATATGAGGCCAGTTCATTGGATGCACGTGTAAGGAGAGCCAGGGCCAAAGTTACTGTAATGCCATGCTGCAATATACTACAATGATCTGCAAATATTTGTGTGCCGGGGTCTATTGACCAAACATGACCAAACCGAATTCTTGCAAAAGCTCTCAAGATATCGAATGGATTAGTCCATCTTCCTACTCAATCCTAGTGGGGAGGTTTCTTTGGGCTTCTCCGGAAACGCCATAGGAACACCGGTGACACCGAGGCCGAGGATTGAAAAAGGCCTCGGCCTCAGCACACCCGGCCTATGGAGCGTTCGAAATGCTTCCTTGTGTTCCACTGGATTCACTGGGGTTTCCGGCGTTTCCGGGTGGCTGGAGATATGACACAAATGCATGGACACAGCAATGGATGGCTCAAGAGTGCGAGTGGATAGATATACCGTGCATGTGTGATTTATGTGGAAGTCAAGAAGTCAAGAAGTGAAGCCATGTGAAGCCGAGTGTTCTTTTCGTCCAGTCAATCGTCCGGCAAAAATATCAGCATCAAGCGTTCCCGACATCGATTCCTATCCTTTAACCCACCAGCTGCGCAGTCATTCCTTCACTTCAACCTAGCCTAGTCACACAGGCCGGCAGCTCTCCTAAATGCTGACACAGCCCGGGCCAGGCCGCCACGGAGACAGAATGCTGAACCTTCGGCAGTTCGACCTTTAAGGCCTTGGCGTCTGTCAAGCTTAAAGCAATAGACTCCACTCTTCAATAGACCAAGGGACAAGGATGGACGCGGTGGATGAGCAGTGCTTTCTCTGTTTGTTATGTTCTTATCAGCATACTTTCTCTATGTTGATTCAGGGCGGGGGTGCGCCAGTCCTCTATTCCGGGAGAATGGTCAGGACCAAGAGGACCAAGATTGAATAACTTCCTCAAAGTCTGAAAGCATTTCAAAACACAAAAGTTGGACAGTCAATGGAGGTGCATTTTATCAATGATCCTGACCTGATAGGTAAATTCTCTGTCACGAAAACATTTGCACGCGATAAAACTGTACAGTTGTGACTCAAGAACCAAGATGCCTGATCTTTCCATTCCTCCAGTATGTCATCATCAAGCTCATTGAGGATTCCCGAAAGGAATGTCAATAGACATTCTTGAGGCACTCGGCAGTCGCGCCAGCCCCGCATTGCCACGAAGCCATGCCAAATGCCGTGCATGTCCTTGCTACAAATCATTGACCTTTGGAGGCTAGCATTGTGATGCCAGGTTAGTTCAGCCATGCTCTTGCTCAACAAAGTACCACCGCCTAGATTGAGGTTAGGTCCTAGGTTGTCTCGCGCGCAATGCAAAGTCAAGTTACTCTGCATGAGTTCAAATTATGTGATACAACATGCAATCCATCTGAAAAAAGGCTCCAGAACCAACTCTCGTGAAGACTAGCACATTTTAGCATGGACCCTATCAATGACTGACCTGCTGCAAGACTCCTGTTGATACAAGCTGCTGGTTTCAGGGTCCATGTTCGTCTGCAGAGTGTGTTTCCTCACGGGTTTCACTTGTCCCGTCCTCAGGCTTCAGCACCTCTTCGCGCAAGGGATCTGCCAGAAGCGTCTCACCTCACGGAGCGTGACATGCTGGTCTCCATCCATACGCTGTTTGCCTTGTCCGATTTCCTCGCTCGTTCATCGGGGATCTTGTTGGTCTGAAAGGTGCGAATCGTTGTCCTCCCGATAGTGTCCTCCCGACAGTGTGTCTTGCCGCGTTTTAGACATGTTTGATGCCAGCAGAAAATTCGACATCCGCCTTCTGGCTTAGAGTCTTGGCTGTCGTTGGTAATTTTGTTGCGCGCATCCACCAAACGAGTCCAAGACTTTAAATTCAAGACTTTAAACCACCAAGACTGAAAGCACCAAGTCCAAGAATGTAAATTCCTTGACCTCACTCGCTCTTGACTCTTAGTCCCTGCTGTTAAATGTATTTAATAATGTTCTGTTTATTTTTTTTCTGACCTGTTTGCTGCCTAGGGGGCTTGGCTCAACAAATCCTACTATTGGAATGTATTGGACGTGGATCACAATTATGTTGCCCAAATCTACCCCCGACGACAGCATGAATATTCGATATCTCTTGATCTCCCCTATCACTGAATTACGGAGCAAAGAACAACTAGTCGAACCAAGAACTATTAAATACAAACACACATTGAACCTTCTCAACGACGCTCTTCGCCGTACTCCCGATTTAAACAGTCGCTGCTTTCCTCGCTGTTCTCAGCGCTCCACAGAGATGACCCCGCTGAGGACTAACATGGACCCTGAAAACCACAGGTTTGTAGCGGAAAACCGTCTTTTAGGGTGCCATTCTCAGGGTGCATGTGAGTTTTCAGGAGTGTAACCCTTTCTGGACTCCAACATCTGCCCTAACACTCCGATCCGCCAATCAGCTGAGTCACCTATCCGCTGCAACTGCTGCTCGATGCCTTTCGCCCGCCGCACACATGCGCGGCTCAGCTTTCGGTCATCACAGCCGGGAACATAGGGCCTGGCTGATCTCAGAATGGCGGGCCACTGGTGTGGACAGGGTGGATGGCGAAAGCCAACCGGTCTCTCTGTCTGCCAAAAGCGGAGACTCTGTCTCCCTTAAGTGGGGTTCGGATGGTTCGGAAGGCACCTTGGCCCAATGGGTTGTGAAATCTTCCGTCGACCAGCGGATCTGACTGAGGCCCTTTGCATTTAATTTCAATACACACAAAAATGGGCACCACTCTCCCTCTCTTTGCCAACCATCTCCCATCCCACCCTCTCCTGAGATGGTCGATGAACTGCGTCAGCGCACGTTCCAACGCCTCACGACCTCCCAAAGTGGCCGCTGCGATGCGCAAGGTCTCCGGCAAGAGCGGCTTCAAGAGAGTGTCGATGTAGATCTTGTACTCCTTCTCCCACCCCGTGGCCCGATGTGGCGTCCGTTGAACAGGACCGTGAACCCGTTGAACCCGTGAGTAACGGGTTCAGCTGTTTGTGGGAGAAAGGCTATGCATCGTCCTTGTCATGTTTAAAGACCGTGCCTGTCAATGAACAGCTACAACTACTTTGTAAACAAACGTTACAAGGACAACCATGAGAATGACATCTCTGCCATGAACTGACAAGTAAATGTATTGTAACTGTTTCCGGACACCCATACAAAGACTATCGACAATTCTTCCCCCCCAGTAACATCTGCCAACCATCTCCCCACACTGGGTACGGTATTCAACTGCTGTAGATATCCCCTGACTGGCAATACATTGTTGCAGGGCTCTGTTGACTTTTCTCTGCTTGTTCTATCTATAATTGCAGCATTTGGACTCTATTATGTGCACTGTGTTCGCTATGACAACCTTCGCACACCAAGCATCCACAGCGGACGGCTCACTCATCTTCCAGCGCTGAGCCAGCCATGGCACGGCGAAGTGAAAGCTAAGCCCCGGGCCCGCTGCAGAATGTAAAGAAAGTCACAAAATGTTTGGGTGCGTATACAATGTATATATATAATATATATATATATATACAATTATCACAATTATATACACCATGTAGATTTAAGTCACAGGTCATGCAATAGAATGGACTTGTGACCGACAGCAGCAGTTCAACACTGCAACGTCATGAGAGGTTGCTGCTTGTCCTACGGAGAAACCTTCCAAGAAGGCTTGAGAGAGTGGGAGTAAAAGAGAACAAGACCTCACTCAACCTCCACGGGGTGAAGCCTTGCTTGTTGACCCTACGGCACTTACGCAACCATCTGACATAAATGTCCCCATTCTCATCTCTAGAACACCAAAGCTGAGACAACCGCTCACCCTATTTCAGCCAAATCTCCTATAGTAACTATAGTAGTTACTAGTTGTATTTTCCTGTGATTTGAAAATTAGTCTTGCCAATTCCTTTTCACAAACATATCCACACCCTCGCATAATCTGCCACGCGGCCAAGTTGGATCTGAGGGTTGGAAAGAATTCCCTGAGTGACTTCACATTTTTGTTTGGCCTTAAGGGCCCTGCCACACTTTGCACAAGGGGCTTTTGTTGTCCTACTTCCTGAATTGTGGTGGGTGTGTCTGCTCCGGCTTTCTGCAATCTAGAAAGTGCATACGCCATCTCCAATCAAACTGTCAGTGCCAATCAACAAATTGGTACACTGCTTGCACATCAGTGGAACGCGTACCCACCAGTACCAAGAAAGTGGGCTAACTCTTGTGTGCAGTGTATGGTCAAGAGTTAACGCTTTTGTGCAGTGTATGGTCAAGAGTGCAACAGCCGATTTTTGCTTTAACTCAAGCAATTCTCGTTGCTTTGCAACGGGAATCTTTTCCAGAACTCCCCGCCGGCGACAGCGGTCCAATGTTTACCTCGGCGAAGGATTGACTGCGACTGGGTAAGGAAATGCGTGATAACTTGAGAGCCGATAGGACAACACATAGTAATATTTGGATATACTATTTATTTGTATTATCTATTTGGAAACTTTCAAGCATGTGTCTCACTAAACTATACAAACATTCGCAAGGTGAATCTTGATTAATGTTGGATGCTGATTAGTAAACCGGTCCTCAATAATGCTAAAGTTTTCCAAAATTATTCTAGACCCCATGATTGAAAAAGTGGTCCTGAATAATGCCAAATTTTTTTGGGACCCTAATTCTTTTTTTATATTGGACACCTAATTGATGAGGGTTTGAATTCCTTCTGAGGCCAATGATTATGATTCATTAGTTGATGTTTTTTCTCTAGGTTTCTTCAAAACTGTCAGCTTTCCAAAACCACCAATTCTTAAACCCTTTATAAAACATTGCTCCTAAACAAATGTTCAAGGTAGTAGACCAGGAAGGCACCTGATCATCAATAATAGATTTTTTTTAGTGGTTCTCAATTGTGAAAAGTCTTTTTCCACTGGAAAAAAAAAACTGTTCATGGAATCTTCCTTTACTTAGCTCCTGAGGCCAATGATTATGATTCATTAGCTGATATACAATCTATGAAAGGAAAATGAATACTACAATCAATTACAAAAAGGAATCCTCACAGGAATCCAGATTTGATTTGGTGGTAATTTATTATAGATGGTCCCCTATTTGTTTGAGGGAGGGGGGGCCCTTTACTAATCAGGATCCAACATTACAATAAGCTGAGGTGGTGGGAGGCGGCCAAACAGAGGTAGAACATGCCCATCCCAAGACTCAGTATGTAAGCAACCACTGGGACCCTCAGGGGTGACTGAAAGAGACAAACCCTGGCACCGAACAGAGCGGGAACCGCGAACGTCAGTGATGAGCTACACCGATCCCGATCCCGTCAGGCGAGTGAACGACTGACCCGGAGAAATCCATTCGATCTTCCACGGTGTCTCGTAGCAACATCTCTTAGATAAACAGGAATGGGTCTCAAAACCACTGCATGATATTGTATAAGGCTTAACTGTCACACACACAGTAACAATCGCGTAAGGCCTTTTTGGGGATAATTCACATCCAAACCCTGCAAGTACCATGCGGCCAGCGCTACAAAACAGCCTCTGCCAAACTCTTGGCAAACTCAAAGGCGGCCCAGCCAATACTCATCGCCTAGGTACACACGGTCCCAAATTCAAATGCTCCATTACAAGTAAGTTCCAAAAGGATCAAGGTTTTGTTTGTCGTTACGGTTATGACTTGCATGAAACCTAACTGAACGCTTAACGAAACAAAAAACAGGCCAACATGATCACAAATGCCCGCTCAAATAATGACCTGTTCGGATTGACTCTAATTACTCCATACGTTCGAACATATATAAACTTAAGCACAGCAGGAAAAATTGTGAACCAAAAAACATCCCACTCCCACTTGTTTTTGTTTTTCAGGTCAGCTTGGCACTCTTCGATCATCCTGTAGGCTCTGGACATTGCTCTTGCCCTCGATCTGTAAATGTTCAACTTGACCCAACATATAGCACAAGCTCATCTTAATGCAGGAAAACAATGGAAAACAAACACCTGCAAACTTGAAGAGGAGACCCTTTTCGCCAACCGAGTTGGCTGCCATCACTGCAATCACCAGCCCGGTCACTGGGATGGTCTTGCACAAGGCGGGGATTAAGCCGCGATAGAAGCCAGTGGGGCCATGCGCATCCAGGATCTTCCAAAAACAATCCTGGGTAGACCGCGGTCGAACACCGACCGAATCTGGGGGGTGCGGAACAATCAGTACTGAAGGGGAGATGTTCGTCCCCGAAGAAAAAAGGGTACGAATGCCCCAAAACCCGGCAGTGCAGGAACAGTCTTCCCTGAACAAGCTGATGGAACTGTTTCTTCTAAAGTCCTCCAGCTGCACTCCAAGTGTCGAAAACACCTGGCGGTGTGTGCAAGCATAGCAACGACAGTTCCTCAGAGAATTTGAACCCTGGAAATACTTTCTCATCCTTGAAGGCACTGATGACAGCTAAATACATGGTAACATGCAATGCGTAGCTTCATGTTGCTTGCCCCAATGAAGGGTGTTCGTAAGATCTAAATCTAAAGAAAACTAAAGACATACTGCGCATTGTTGCATCATTCGAAGGCTTCTTCCATGAAGGTTTCAAACGTGTACCCCAACAACTGAATAACCAGGTCCTGCCTCGATAGCGCATAGGCCGCCCAGGCATGCCTTGCACGATCAAGCGCGTGCGCACCACCGTCAGCGGATACCTGTGAGGCGGATTTGAACACCAAATCTGTCGAAGCAGCATGGTATTTGATTGAAGTTAAACGTCAAACACACTGACACTCAAAGCTTCAACACAAGTATACAGTATATAGATGTGATCAGTTCTTCCTGCTGCTCAAAACTACCAAGTTTTGATTGCCATGAATTTTGTTTGTCAAGCACTTCGAGAATGATCGGGGGACTCCAAATGTCACGGTCGATGTGGAACTAGACTATCTCAGTTTCGTTGTTACTAGTAGTTTCTAGCTACCAGTAGTGTCTTGTTCCTAGTAGTATATATTGGCCTCCACCCTAATAGCGATGGCCTCCACCTACTATATAGTAGCTTCTCAAACCTGATCTCGAAATTGAAACACATCGCCACACACCCACATATTCTTTCCAACCAGAAGTTGTTGGCTGGTACACGAACTCATAATCACTCAATCATATCATATATACACACACATTTTTCATATACAAATAATATACTGTATATAGATAATCTTTAATTTGAGAGCCACTCGCAGGTAGAACTGGTGATATGACCCAGACCATACCTGATTGCGTTTGGGGTCAAGTGGTGCTTGTGGGTGGCTTAACCCAAAAAGTATGTTATATGTTAATTAACACTGCCTGACTAACGACCTACCTGCTGGGATATCACAGCAACTATGGCAAACAAACGGTGGGCCCTGTGAAGATCAGCCAGGAACATCACATTGTATCACATCAACCAAATGTTGTTGCACCATTCTGGAATCCTGACTGATTTTGTTGAAAGCAAACAAACTTTAGCGCCAACATTTCAGCCAATTGCCCTGTCGAATACTTATCTTTGAAACATATATGTTACGTAGATCTCCCATACTCCCTACGACCCACTCGAACGGCTAAAAACAGAATTCACCAGCCAAGCTGGCCCTAGCCTCTACATCAGTAAGTGCTCTTGGCTGGTGATCAACCAAAATCACTGAGTCTGAGGTTCTTCGACCAATCCTATAGCTGTGGGTTGATTCGGAACTCAGACCTAGCTGCAAACTTGGTACAGTAAACGTTGAAGCAGCTTAAGCAAATCTATTATTTTATAATCCCTGAAACAGCTTGCCGTAAATGACGGTGACATTCAAGCTGGGCACGGCACACGTGGGTGACCAGGACCTCCTCCAGTGTCTTTAATTACGTTCCGCAATCATCCACAACCATATGTCAGCACATATCAGGGTGTCGTAAAACACTCTTAGCACTTTTAGTTCTATCGTTTCTTTGCTGTTCCCTATCGTTTTACAGTGCTTTGACCAACTACATACGCAGCGTACATTCGTGTGCACTGCATGCAATGCATTTTGTGCTGTTCCACTGGCACAGCTCATTCCAGACTAGCATAGCCAGTACATGTGTGGGCCATTGTGTACAAACGTTTTCTCGCGTGTGGTAACATTGATTTCTATGCACAAACATAGATCCTGCAACACAAGACTCCTCAGTGTCTTTGTGGAGCGGATGGAGGTATCGCTTGGGGATCGGTACCCCGGTAGCCGAGCCACGCAACCAGCGCGCCACAGGTGGCAGAGGCCGCTCCGAAGCAAAGCGAGAGCCTCACTACGACGTACGGTTCTGGAGGGGAACTGGAGTCGTTGTGTTTGGCTTCTCGTAGCATCAGGAATGCAGTCGGTCTCAACGATTGTTACGACAAACGACCACTTGTTGTGCGATATGATCAGTTATAAATACATCATAATACATCCATATTCGTCATGTCTGTCTTTTTTTGGGAGTGTCAGCACATACATGTATTCGGACATACAGGGGAGTAGAAACGGACCAGACTCACGACGTTCCCAACCAAACGGCATGTCCACCACGACGCGAAGTGTCGCGACGTCTCGCCCGTCGCAGCCGACGGAAAGCGTCCGTGGCGTGGACATGCGGTTTGCATTGGGTCCCAATTCTTGGCCGGAGGAGGAGAGAGATTGGAAGACAACTGGAAGACGCTGGACGATTTGGGTCAAGGAGAGGCTAGATTTGTCTTTGATTTATTCTTTTGTTGCTTCCCCGCAGTTTACATATTTTTACACCACGTACATGTTCCAGCACATTGAAAGACCCAGGGACGCCAAAGGCATGTTGCTGGTCTCTTCCTTCCTGAACCGCTCCGTGTAGTGAACCTCCGCATGAGCAAGTGCTCTGACGGCGAAGCTGAGCAGTCTTCAAAACACTGGTTGGATGATGTCTTAAGTTTTAGTATTTGCTCAAGGCACTACTATTACTTACGCTTTACATTGTTTTTAGAGGTTTTCAATTGTTTTCATAAGCTTCCGCGGAGAGTTTCCGCGGAGAGTGTTTGGAACAAAGAGAACTACAATAACCTGAACTTACACGCTGTCAATTTGGGAGGCCTTCTTCAAGTTTATCTCCGCAGAAGTCAGACTGCAAACGACTCACTTTGTGACACAAAAACATTGCAGCGCTCAGCTCCACAAAGGTGATACAAGCTGAAGAAAAAAACATGAGAGGGACACTTCATCACGGCCTTGGTGGTTTGTCTGCTCAGATCATGTCCTTTAAACTTTTCCATTGACACTGTCTCTAGTTGTGCAACTGGCCTTTCTGCCTTAGATAGATCAATAAAGAACGTTGTTTGCGCAATCCTTACGCACCCGACACCGCTCCACACGGTTGAACAAGGTGTTCTTTTTGGTTTCCTGCGAAATGTAAGACTTCAACATGAATCTGTGGAACTGTTTGATGTCGTGTCAGCCCTTAACCATCAGTGGCCTGCGTGGCTAGAGCATCAAGTACGTACCAAATTACTTTACTTCGAGTGATCCCCACCATGACATTTCAATCGTTTGACTTGATGCCACAGTGAGGAGCATGTTGCCATGGTCGTGAGTATTGTAGTTCTCGATTTTGCTTCTGGGTCCTCGGGTTGTGTGCTGCGGTTGTGTGTTGTGGTTGTGGTTGTGTGCTGTGTTGTGGTTGTGGTTGTCTTGTGATTGTGTGTTTGTGGCTGTGTGTTTGTGATTGTGTGTTTGTGGATGTGTTTGCGGTTGTGCTTGTGGCTGTGCGTTTGTGGTTGTGTCTTTGTGGTCGTGTTGTTGTGGTTGCGTGTTT